GTATATATATATATATATATATATGTATATATATATATGTATATGTCAGTGGAACTTCCCCACCATAATAGAATAACACACGTGTGTGTGAGTTAGAGAGAGAGAGAGAGAGAGAGAGAGAGAGAGCATCAGTAGTGGGGCGGTAAAATCATGAATTAATGTTGATAGAATTAATTTCCTCTGTCAGCCACAGTCGCTGCATTCAGCAGGAAAAACAATGCGAGTATCTAGAGCTGGAACATATTCCATATTAACCCACAACACTAGTGTCGTGCGGAATGCTTTTTTTTTTTTTTTTTCGGAACACAAACAGCTAAATGAGGACAATGCGAGTATCTAGAGCTGGAACATATTCCATATTAACCCACAACACTAGTGTCGTGCGGAATGCTTTTTTTTTTTTTGTCGGAACACAAGCAGCTGAATGAGGAGTTAATCCAAATAGGGTTAAACGTTTGAGAAGTCTTTCTTTCTCTATTGCAGAGAATGAGGTGGTGAAAATATTAACGTTAAACCCGCATTCAACTACCGTGAGCTTTGGAACCGATGCTGGAAACTTAGTGAGACCTCCATTGCAACATCCCTCCTTCCTCACAATTAATTTTTGGGTTTAATGACCATATCGCCTAATGATTTTCCTCACATGCAGGAGCGTATTTTCTTCGAGGGCTGACCAGGATGAGTAACAAGACATCGATCGTGCGTTGAGTCATTTGACAAATCCGTATTTTCTGGGTGGAGAGAGGGAGAGAGGGAGAGAGAAAGAGAGAGGGAGGGAGAGAGAAAGAGAGCGGAGGAGACACGCGTCTTCTTGTCTCTTTTGGGGATTTTCGCAAGACCAAAAGACGTATCACCGCCTAAGCTTGCTTGCTTTCTCTCAAATGTAATAAGCAGCACCTGCTTCGAGGGAAAAAATGGGAGGATGTTACGGATATCTCACCTGACGTCGATTCTCTGCAACATTTTTCTCTGACCGTTATACGCGACGCGGCATTCTGAACGAAAACTTTTTTTGCCGCCTTAAATTTTTTAAAAATAAAATCCGTTAAAACTTAGTCGCGATGGTTTTACAGTGGTGTTATGACATCAGCGTGGATCGGACGCGTTTTAGTCGAATATCTCTGCACTTGAAAGCGGTTTGCGTGTGTTTGATTTAAGGACAAATCATAGAAAGGTACTGTACGTATTTTAATTTATTTTTCTGTATTGTTTCCTTTATTAAAATAAATAATGCAGAATATCTAAGCAACAAGCGTCGCCATACGATGCGCACTTTCCCAAGGAATAACGCATCCTTCTGTTCTTGGAGAAAACCTCAACGTATTTCCACATCAACCTTACTTTGAAAGGCTCTATGGCCGTTATTGATATCGATTCTGTTTTTGTTTACCAATAAATACTGTGAAAAGTGCCTTTTTTCTGTTTCCCAACGACAAGGAGACATGGCTTGCTTTCCATGGCGGGTATTTTGGATAATCCAAGCGCTTGTGGATGTGACACTTTCGCAGGAAATCTACGCTCCTCATTCAATCAGAATTGAGGGGGATTTGACCCTAGGTGGCCTTTTCCCGGTCCATGCCCGCGGGGTCTCCGGGGAACCGTGTGGAGATATCAAGAAGGAGAACGGGATACACCGGTTGGAGGCGATGCTTTATGCATTGGACCAAATCAACAGTGACGACGAGCTTTTGCCCAACATCACTTTAGGCGCTCGGGTTTTAGACACATGTTCGCGAGACACGTACGCGTTGGAGCAGTCGCTTACTTTTGTGCAGGCTCTCATACAGAAAGACACGTCGGATGTGAGGTGTACGAACGGAGAGCCCCCGGTGTTCGTCAAACCCGAGAAGGTGATCGGAGTCATAGGGGCTTCGGCGAGTTCAGTGTCCATCATGGTCGCAAATATACTGCGACTGTTCCAGGTGAGTCTGAGCCCAAGTGCCCAACCGTAGCCCATCACATGTGCTGGAATGAGTCCCTGCGTCACGATTTCATGTCATTCCACCCCGTATGATTACATGACAGCTGATTTATGAGAACGCATAATGCCTCAAAACGCCACATAAAACAGCACAGCATAATGACAGTTGATTATGTATGGAAAAGAATGTTTTGTTTTTGCAATCAGTAGTGTAACCACAACAGGTTGTTAGTCATAATCAATAAATCGATCAGGCATCGACTCATCACACCTGCAAAGTGTCTTTTCAACAGGGTTCCTTTCTTTGACTCTGTCCATTTTCAGTTTCCAAGTACTTTTTTGGTATGATTGCTTGATGCAATCAATACCAGCACATCATTATATTATATTATATTATATATTATATTATATTATAGTTTATTTAAAGTTTAAGTGAAAAAA